GGGGGGGGGGGGGGGGGGGGGGGGAGGGAGGGAGGGGGGAGGGAGGAATAGCACTTAGACTTATATACCGCTTCACAGTGCTTTCCAGCCCTCTCTAAGTGGTTTACAGAGTCAGCCTCTTCCCCCAACAATCTGGGTCCTCATTTCATGGACCTTGGAAGGATGGAGGGCTGAGTCAATCTTCAGTTGGCCAGGATCGAACTCCTGGCAGTGAGCAGAGTTAGCCTGAAATACTGCATTCTAACTGCTGGGAGGGAGGGAGGGAAGGAAGGAATAGCACCTAGACTTATATATCACTTCACCGTGCTTTACAGCCCTCTCTAAGTGGTTTACAGAGTCAGAGAGATTGAGGCAGAGCCTGGGCCATCTGTCAGCCCTCAGATGGAGAGTCAACAGCCCCCAAGTATAGAGGTGGCTGATGAGGAAGAGGAGGAACAGCTGGGTCCAGTGCTTGACGCACGGATGGGCAGAAGGCAGAGGAAAGGAGAGCAGTGGAAATCCATGGGCTGATCCTTGGGACAGAAGAACCACCGCTGCTAGCAAAGACCCATCCTAGCTCTGAGGATAAAAGGCAGGGGGCGGAGATGAATAGACGTGGCAGACAACGGATGGTGTTGTTAGCCTGCGGTGAGAGAGAAACTTTTTCCCTGGGGCTGCTGGCACTCCTAATTAATGTATTTTTTGGAGTATGAGACGCACCAGAGTATAAGACGCACCAAGATTTTGAAGAAGAAAATTTAAAAAAACTTTTTGCAATCTGCACACCTCCCAAAAATGGCCCGTTTTTCACAAAAACAGGCCCATTTTTTGTCAAAAAAAGGGCATGCATAGCCTTTAGGAGGTGTTTAGAGTTCTCTTGGGGGCTAGGTGAGGAAAAACGTGCAAAACAATGTCCATTTTTCATTCATTTTTGTCCTCCCCAGCCCCCAGGAGTACTCTGGAAGCCTCCTAAAGGCTATGCACAGCCATTTTTGCAAATGGGGTTTCAGGAGGCCAAAAATGCTGTATTCAGTGTATAAGACGCACCAAGATTTTCACCCTCTTTTTTGAGGGGAAAAGGTGCATTTTATACTCCAAAAAATATGGTAAATGAATCCTTGAGTTCGCTTCAGAGGTTTTGTTGTGTTTGGGTCAGAACACCTTCAAGTTGGCTTNCAGCCCTCTCTAAGTGGTTTACAGAGTCAGCCTCTTGCCCCCAACAATCTGAGTCCTCATTTTATGGTCCTCGGAAGGATGGAGGGCTGAGTCAATCTTCAGCTGGCCAGGATCAAACTCCTGGCAGTGAGCAGAGTTAACCTGAAATACTGCATTCTAACTGCTGGGAGGGAGGGAGGGAAGGAAGGAATAGCACCTAGACTTATATAGCACTTCACCGTGCTTTACAGCCCTCTCTAAGTGGTTTACAGAGTCAGGGAGATTGAGGCAGAACCTGGGCCATCTGTCAGCCCTCAGATGCAGAGTCAACAGTCCCCAAGTATAGAGGTGGCTGATGAGGAAGAGGAGGAACAGCTGGGTCCAGTGTTTGACGCACGGATGGGCAGAAGGCAGAGGAAAGGAGAGCAGTGGAAATCCATGGGCTGATCCTTGGGACAGAAGAGCCACCGCAGCTAGCGAAGCCCCATCTAGCTCTGGGGATAAAAGGCAGGGGACGGAGATGAATAGACGTGGCAGACAATGGATGGCCTTGTTAGCCTGCGATGAGAGAGAAACTTTTTCCCTGGGCTGCTGGCATTCCCAATTACTGTATTTTTTGGAGTATGAGATGCACCGGAGTATAATACGCACCAAGATTTTGAAGAAGAAAATTTAAAAAAAGTTTTTGCAATCTGCACACCTCCCCAAAATGGCCCATTTTTCACAAAAACAGGCCCATTTTTGTCAAAACAAAAAGGGCGTGCACAGCCTTTAGGAGGTGTTTAGAGTTCTCTTGGGGGCTAGGTGAGGAAAAACATGCAAAAGAATGTACATTTTTCATTCATTTTTGTCCTTCCCAGCCCCCAGGAGTGCTCTGGAAGCCTCCTAAAGGCTATGCACAGCCATTTTTGCAAATGAGGTTTTGGGATGCCAAAAATGCTGTATTCAGTGTATAAGACGCACCAAGATTTTCACCCTCTTTTTTGAGGGGAAAAGGTGCATCTAATACTCCGAAAAATACGGTAAGTGAATCCTTGAGTTCGCTTCAGAGGTTTTGTTGTGTTTGGGTCAGAACACCTTCAAGTTGGCTTGGTCCCAAGTTGAGCAGGGCTTAGATGACAANTTCTTTCCTGCCTTCCTTACAGGATTAGCCCTGTAAAGTGGGAAAAAAACAAAAGGAGATTTCTTCCAACAACTGGTTCTCCGAACTGCTTAGAAGGTTAACAACCGGTTCTCCCGAATAGGTGGGAACTGGCTGAATCCCACCACTGCTCACAACTCTTCTTCCTCAAGGCACATGGGATTGAATCTATGGTCCTTGGAATGTGAGGGCATCTCTGTGACCTCTGAGCTATGATTCTTCCCAAATCCAAAAAATGCAGCTCTTCTACCCAATGCCTAGACAATGCAAAGCTTCAGGGTAGAGGTAATTGTGAGTTATGTTGGTCTCTTTAAATGAGTGGGATCGAGGTCCTCAGGTAAGACAGGGAGCCAATTCCACAACACATCCAACAGACGGTGCAGCTGAAAGACTGTTCCTGCCCTTTTTAAACAAGAAGCTCCATTTTCATTGAAAATGAAATTCTCTATGGCCAGGCCAAAGGCCATGAACTTCCCTTCCCTTGTATGTTTCCATTTGTGCTTCAAAGAGGAAAAATAAATAAATGGGTCACGGATGCCAGTTATAAAAAAAAGTTGCTACTTTTATTGGTAGAGCAGGGCTTGGTTCTGTAACGCCCCAAAATAGAACCTCTGTGCCGGGAGTCAGGAGATGGGTGGGGAAGCACCTCCGATTCAGAAGTGGTATCTGCCAAGTAGGACCTCAGGAGGACTTGGTTAGTTGCGATCTCTAAAAAGGGGTCGAAAGAAGAAGAATTCAGTTGTCCAGAAACCCCTCAAGTTAAATCAATCTGCAAATCAAAGGACTGTAGTTGTGCAAGACACTCCACACCAGTGATGGCAAACCTTTTCAGCACTCAGTGCCCAAACTGGAATGCACATGAAGCTTGCGTGCCGGAGCACCAAAAACCCAAGCAATAGCTAGCCGGGATGCACGCATGCGCCAACCCGCTGGTCTTCAGGTTTCCGGCACATGCATGCATGCCGGCCAGTTGGTGTTCGCATGCACTGGGGCACCAGAAACCTGAAGACCAGCTGGCTAGCACACACATGCCTGTTTTTGGCTGTTTTGGGGGAAGTTTTCAGTCCGAAAAAATGGTCCAAAAACAGCCAGAAAACAGCCTGAAAACAGCTCCAAAAATGGCCGAAAAACAGCCTGTTTTCTGGCAGTTTCCAGGCTGTTTTCCGGTGTCCAGCACCTGCAAAGACCAGCTGGCCAGTGTGCATGTGCGTGCCACAAACCGGAAGAGCAGCTGGCAACAGCACATGTGCCCACAGAGAGGGCTCTGTGTGCCACCTCTGCCATGTGTGCCATAGGTTCATCATCATGGCTCCACACTATCCTTCTGCCATTCTTCCGAAGCTACTTAACTTCCCTGTATAACTAGCGAGAACATCCGTGTCATCTTTCTCCTCTCTGGAAACCTCACCTTGCTACAGGTTTGCAGAAACGCCTGTTCCTACAGCATTTTTAATGCTTCCGGCGACCAGCCTCTTCTCACCTGCAAACTGTGCATAGCAGATGGAAGGGTTGGGATGCCAGGGAGGCAGCCATGGTGGCCCAGCAAAAAAGAAAGGAAGAAAACTGGGTGGCCTTGTCCTGAAGATGCCATGTTTTTTGGAGGGGGGCAATACCTCTTTTTTTGGAACCCCGACAGACGAGTCAACTCATAAGGCATTCTGGAGGTCACACTCCTGAGCCAATCCATAGCAAATTGCATCTTCCCTCCCACCCCGCCCTATTCCACACCCAACCTGATGTCCAAGATGACTAGTGCATGCCTCCACCTGCCCTTGGCTAGGACCAAAATGTGCGAGGCCTTAAAAAGCTCAGCTTGGACACAGCGACCCGTGGCTTCCCCCCATTCCAGAAACGGTGGTTAATCTCCCAGGAGAACCTCAACAGCTAACCAGAAATTTGGTGCTCTGCTTTGTTCTCACGCCAGAGGCTCTCAAGAGAAGGGAGCCGAAAGAAGGAGGTCAAAGAGAACAACCATTTCCCTACCCCTTCCCAAGAGGAGTCATACTGGTTTGTCCAAAGTTTTGGGGAGAGCGAGACCACTAGGCGGGGAGATCTTCCTGCAAACGGTATTGGTGTGGCTCTGGCAGCGGCAGCCTGGCCGTTTGACGGCATCGTAGCCCTTCTGGCAGAGTTTGAGGCAACCAAAGGTAGGTAGATAGCAGCATAGGCAGGGCATGAGCAAGGAGAGCAAGCCCATGGCCACCCAACGGGCGCAGCAAGAGCCAGGGCCACAGGAGCAGGGATCGTCTGCACAGGTGTCCTCATCATCCGAGGAGCAGTGGTAAAAGATGCCCTTGACGCAGCAGAGGCAAGTCCCGTAGTCAATGAGGTTCTCCGGCGAGCAGAGGCAACGCTGGTTGCAGAGCCAACAGGAGGGCAAGGTGCGGGCAGTGGCGCACTGGGCACATTTGCAGTGACCACATTCTTCACAGATGAAGAGATGGCCTGGGTGAAGGGTGGGGGATTTCTCCGGGGTCCCCTTCAGCAGCTCTTCGGCCTTTGGGTCGCTTGCCCGAGGCTGCGTCCGGATGAGCGAGTGTCCGGAGTGCGATGGCGTGATGGCCCTGAGGAGCTGCTGCTCTGACGTGGCAGTGCTGTGGGAGATGGAGCTGGCTGTGCTGGAATGGCTCAGAGGCTGTTGGGGCAGGAGTGTCTGGTGGGGTTGGCTGGGGTGAAATTCCTGGAAGACGGAGGACACCAGGCGTTCCTGAGTCACCTCCACTTTATGGACCGGCGGCGTCTGGGACAGCGCAACCATGGAAGTGGCCTTTTTGCAGGCAGGTCTCTCCACGTAGTCATTGGTGGCACGGGTGGCACGGATCTGGCTGATGGAAAGGACCTGCTGGAACTCATCCGGCATGGAGTCCATGACTTCTTCAGGGCTGTGCTCAGTGGTGCTGGATGCCAGGGGCATTCTGGGAGAGCAGAAAGGCTGGGATCAACAGGGAACATCAGAAGCTCCTACGGGGGAAAGAAGAAGAAGAAGCAAAAGTTATGAACAACAAGTGTGTTAATCCTAAGAATGAACAAATATCATCAAGTGGAGGAGGAATCCCTCCAGTGCTACCCAAAATCGTATAGCTTCTGAAAACACCCATCAGTCTTCACTCAAAGGACAGCTATATGCGTCTTGACATTCCAGATACACAATTCTGTATCCTGGAACAAGCTTTCAACAGAAGTTTCACAGATACAATATTTTTTTTAATATATTGCAGACAAGTTATAAGTCATCTATGAAGAGAAGATCTACCCAACGGTAGATCCCAGAAATCAACTGAAAGAGAAAAAAGATAGATGTTAGCCCCAGATTCCATAGAGGGTCAAAGAACAAGAGGGAAACCCAGAAGAAAATAGGGAGATAACATCAAAGACATACTACAACAACATCAATTAACAATGGTTGAGGCTGCCAGAAGAGCAAGAGCTACACCCGAAGCGGTAAAAGAGGAGGAGGAGGAGGAGGAGGAGGAGGAGGAGAAGAAGAAGAAGTAGTAGTAGTAGTAGTAGTAGTAGTAGTAGTAGTAGTAGTAGT